AAGATGCACATAAATTGTCATGAAAGTAAAGAATCAAAAATAAAGGATAAATGGTAGTACTTGAAAGAATGGATTGTTCGACTATTAAATTTTTGCCTTTTAAGACATAATAGTAAAAGTTGTTTATAGTAATTTACCTTTATAAAATAACTAAGATACTAAGCACGCCCTGATTGGTCAATAGAGTTGCCAAAGCCATGTTCTATTGTACTGATAAGCGCATGATTCCCGATGCGGCAGAGCTATGCGAGAACTGGAGAACTCTGAACACTAGCGAGAACAAAATACACAACTCCCTCGTTCTCCGTCTGAGATATCAATAAAGCGAGTATCTTTTCATTCAACATATACATGGAAATTTGCAAGGAAAAACAGGACCATGGCGATAGAATGCTTGATCTTTCCTTCCATGGCAAAAATTTGACACATACACCGCTTTCTCTTTGGCCAAGGGAAAAAAAAATAAACACAGAAATCAAAACTCTTTTGTTTATTTTTATTCAGCTTGCTTTATTAAGCTTAAAATTTACTCCCTTTTATATTGATTTCAACATTTAACTGATCAGGTTAACTCAGTTAATCTCGGTTTGATTTAATAGTTTTCACAGATGTATCCACGTGTTGCCGTTATTCCTTGACCCGCATCTTTTCTATTGCACATGACATTATTAAAATGCCCTTGGGTCCCTGAACTGGGATACCAGATTTCGCCACAAACTTCCCTTGAATCATCACTAGGCTGACCGCTCTGCCAGCGGCTGTCATCTGTGGCCACAGTGACACCAGGCGATCCTGCCTCAGTCCATTTCCACGTTCCGCTTTCTTTACGGAGTCCAATGTAATAGTGAGTGTAACTACCAGTTTCCGTCACTTTATCTGCGAGGAAGCCCTTAACTTTGTTCCACTCGTCTGTCGTTTCCATGGTAACTAGGTGAGCTCCCATGTCACGGCACGCGTCACGGGCTTCGTTCCAGGTACTGTCAACGTCATGAAAAGTGTAGCAGTTGTTTACATTGCTGGCACTACAGTCCACAGCTGGAAAATTTCACCACATGGTCATTAGAACTTTAATTAGAAACAAGAATTAACTGTAAAAACACAGCAAAAATTAAATTAAATGTATGGGAAAAAGCTCGATGCCCAATAATTTGAGCGTGATTGACGTTCTGAAGATTTTATGAGTTACAAAGAAAAGATACCCAGCGGAAGGTCCTTTTGATCAAATTTGAAGAACATAGGGCGACGGGTTTCTTTTTTCAAAGTTTTCATGCAAATTTATGTAAATTTTCCAAGGAATCCTGATTCGGCGTTACAGACAAATTTCCCTCAAATTTGAGAAGTAAGTTCGTTTACCTAATATCTCTTGTTTTTAATTCATAAATATTTCAAAACTCAAATTTTTCGTTACCTGTTAGAGATTAGATTCTCTATTTTTCCCACACATTTACGATATTTTTTTTCCTTATTTGTCCCCACCCCCCCCCCCCCCCCCAAACATGATGGCATCAAAACCCGTGAAAAGGTTTCTCAATTTTTTACTACGCACACCTATCATTAGAATCGAAACCCGGGGAATGGAGACGGTCATTATAAATGACCTCCCACGAGAGAGGATAAGGAGTCATCTCCCCTGGATAGTCTCATTCAAGTTAATTTTAGATATTTGTACCCAGTTCCTCCGCGTATGATACCACGCCGTCCACGCGCTTGCGTAGATGTTTTCGTGGAGGATAAAAATACGTGCAAAGCCTTCTGGGTTGAGCACGTGGGTAATATTCGCGTCGTGTGATTCGCTATTTCTAGATCCTCCTGGGATTTCTGAAGCTGGAAGTGACCTCAAAATAAGTTGAGAGAGATTATCTTAACAAAACAAACTTAAGGAACAAAATTAAGCTACATTTATCGCCTGGTGTAACCTTAAACACGAAGGCGCGCTATATAAGGAAGTCTTCCCAAGGCTCATTTGTTAGTCACCGTTGACGTGCGCGGGTCAAGTTCAAAATGGCGGGCGATTTGAATACACGAAAGGTAAGCTGTAATTGAATTAAACTTCTTTGCTGTCTTTACTTGCCATAAAATTAAAATATCTTTATCTAACAAGAAATAGTACTTCACAGATTACTATTTTATCGGACGAATCTTTAATCGTAGTAATCACATCGATTCGGAAAAAATTCCGAGTTCCAGATGGGATTTGAAC